GACTACAGGAAAAAGAAAAAAGAAATTTCAGTTTTTACAATGTCTTCACATTGGTTGCTGGGCAGGGCAGGGAGAAAGGGAGTATTTAAGATGCTAACTGGGACATGAAAAGTTACAGGCTGGAGGGCCATCACTTTGCTTATTTATTTAGGACACATAGGTTACCAGGGAGGAACCCTGGATCCCAATTGCCAGAGTTCGAATCATGATTCTGCCACTTAAAATATGACTTTAGCAGAGTTAAATCACTTTTCTTGTCTCAGGTTTCTCATTTATAAATGGGGCTGTTAATAGTACCTACCCCACAGAGTTATTATAAGAATGAAAGAAATAACAGCATGCATGTATCTTGCCATAAAGCTGGTTACTTTATTTTTTCCAATGGCAAAGCCTGAGAAGTCAGGGCTGGTCACCCTATCCTGGCTTGACCACTGTCTGAGTAGGAGGCAATTTCCCCCCTCCCAGGCCTCTATGATCAAACTGTCACCAACGGCTTGCAGGTTTATCTTGATATTGCCTCTGACGCCTTTTCCTGTCCACACCTACGACCGCCTCCTTCTCCACGCCCTCCTATCCCTGCCCACCACTGCTTTCTGTCCACGCCCACCGTCACCTCCCGCCACGCCCACCACCACCTCCTTGTCCACACCCACCATCACCTCCTGCCACACCCACCCCCTTCTCCACGCCCACCTCCTCCTATCCCTGCCCACCACTGCTTTCTGTCCACTCCCACCGTCACTTCCCGCCACGCCCACCACCGCCTCCTTGTCCACGCCCACCGTCACCTCCTGTCACGCCCACCACTACCTTCTCCATGCCCACCATCACCTCCGCCACGCCCACCGCCACCTCCTCCCGTTTTAGGTCCTCCTTACCTTGGGTGAGACTGTTATAATTGCCTCCTAACTGTTCTCCTGTCTCCATCCTTCACAGAGTTGTCGGATCAATCTTCCGAAAATACCATTTTCGTCATGTCACTTGTCTGTTCAGAAACTTTCGGTGGCTTCTAGGGGAGCAAGTCCAAAGCCTTCGCTAGCTTGGTCCTCCACTGTCCATCGCAATGGGACCTTCCAGATCTTCTTCCATTAGCCGGTGCCGACCTGTGCCCATGGTTCCTTCTCACTCTTGAACTGTTTCTCAAACCTTTCTTACCACTGTGTGTTTACCTATGCTGTCCCCTTCTCAGAGCTCTCTCCTCTGTTGCAGCCAAATTCTACCCATTCTTCCAGGTCCACCTGGAATCCTGCCTCCCCAGCAAGTCCTGAAATCCAGTGGTACTCTTCTTTTCTCCTACTTGACCCCAGTGTGCCTTTGGGTTGCTCACTATTTTCTTTTCTTTTTTTTTCTTTTTATTTTATTTTTTATTTGAGAGAGAGAGAATGAGAGACAGAGAGCACGAGAGGGAGGAGGGTCAGAGGGAGAAGCAGACTCCCCGCCGAGCAGGGAGCCCGATGCGGGACTCGATCCAGGGACTCCAGGATCATGACCTGAGCCGAAGGCAGTCGCTTAACCAACTGAGCCACCCAGGCGCCCTTGCTCACTATTTTCATGGGTACATGCATGTGCATGTAACTCTGTCTGTAAATGTTTCCCGGGCAGGGGCAGTTCTGATGCTGTGCTGGGGACAGAAAAGGGGTCCAATAAGTCTGTGCTGGTTGATTGATTGCAGGAGACTCTGGTGGGCTGCTGTCCCATGCTGGTTTCTGACATGTCTTAGCTGGCACCTTCTTTTTATTCCTGGTTGGTTTTTATCTCCAGGGCAAGGGAACACTCACTCAGCCTTCTTCCCTTCACTGAAGGAAAGGAAGGGATGAGATTCTGCTGGGGGCAGCACAGGTCTGGTCAGCTGAGCTCTGTGGCTAATGCGTGTGTGCATGTGCCTGTGTGTGTGTAAGCATGTGTGTGTATGTATATGCACATGTGTGTGTACTGCACGTGTGTGTACTGCAGTGGGGCTGCAGCCCCCTCCCCCAGTCCTTCTTCCCTCTCTGCTACTGCTCTTGCCCTCCAGAGAATCCACTCCACAAGATGAGTAGGTCTAGGCAAAGGGAAGAAACTAAAGGCCTAAGTGTTCTCTTTCCCTCCCCTTTGCACATCATAACTTCTGGATCTTTGATGGTGGAGGGACAGGCAAGGTGGGTGGGTGGGCAGGAGGCTTGCCTGCTGGTTAGCTCAGGATGGCTGGGATGGGCCCTTCCAGGTGGTCTGAAGGAATATAGTACCTGAGGGTGTGTGAAAGTGTGTCAGTGAACCCCAGGGGCTTTTGGTCACACCTACTGACTCTCCTTTCTCCCATGATTCCCTCTTGCAAGATCTCCTATCCCTCATACTCTACATAGTAGTCTTCGGATCCCTGTAGCCTTTTATCTTCTCTTCTCATTTTGCACTAAGTTTTATGCCTTGTCATAGGTTCCCAATCCTTTTCCTAGATCCCAGAGGAAAGGGGTGACATTTTATGAACAACTTCCTATGAACCAGACATTCGACTCGCTGTTCTGTGTACAGTGTCTCATATAATTTCTTTGAGGGTTTTTTTTTAAATTCCCATTTTATAAAGATTTTATAGATTAAATTGCCCATGGTTAATATGTGTTCATCTGTATTTCCTCTGCAGATCCTGGCCGAGGGGAGCCTTACATACAGCACATGCTCAGGAAATAATGGTATGGCACTTGGACTGCCATATGTAAGGGCAGCTCAAGTTGAGGCCTGGGGTCAGCAGAGGGTAGGCTGTAGTGGGAGAAGCTTATACAGATAGGGAGGAAAGAGGGCCCAAGGCCAGAGTGCCCCACAGCCACAACAAGCTAAACGATGATCTGGCTGGTGTTGTCCACTGTCCTTGTGAAGGCCTGGTGACCCCAAGTCCCTAAAAGGCCTCAGCCGCTCACCTCTTGCTACCACATTCTAACCCCCCCACCCAACAAGAGAAGTCAGTGGAAGCCACTCTTGGGTGTCCATTGCTGCTTTCTCAGCCCCCTTCACCTGAAAGGGGGTCAGGCGAAGCTTCCACATATGTTTCATAGTTGTCCTTCGTATACCCACTGGGGTTAAAAGACAGTTTAACAAATTTTTGGAGGAGAAAGAGGGATGTGGTAATTTGGGAGCCTTGAATAGAGCCCTTGGAAGAGGGAAAAGCTGCATCGGATACCAGAGTGTGGGGATGGTGGAGGGTATTTGGGTGACCAGAAGGCCCTGAAGTGGGGGAGCTGAGTGAGGAAGTCCATTTATAGCGGGCTGCCAACCTCTAGCCTCCAGTCCAAGACGCCCCAGCTGTATAATTCCTATCGGCTTGTCATCCTTTCATCTATACTTTTCTGAAGTTGGTTCTTTAAGTTCCCGAATTTTGGAAAAGAAGCCGGGAGACCTTGTGAGATGTGAAGTCTTTTTCTAGAACTGGAGAGGCCCGGAGCAAAGTCAGGGAGGGCTGCCCGGAGGAGGCTTTCCCCAGCTCCTCTCCCCAGGCTTTCCTAGGGCTGGTCTTGCACTAACTGGCTAGGGCTAAGCCTCCTTCGGGCATAAATCAGTGGCATGGGGAGGAGATAGGGCTTCGGCCAACGCGCCAGGATGAGCCAAACAAGAGAGGCATTCGGGGGAGACCCGCACGCTGTGCTTCCAAGGCTGGGGAAGACGAGTTCCCGCCTAAATCCGCAAGATGGAAGTTGCTCCCTCTAGCTTTTCCACTAGCGAAGGCTGCTGGTTTTGTGAGTGACCCCTCCCTTTGCACCCAGGTCGATTTCTAACATTTACTTCTTAATAGAGTCTTGTTCATTTAAAAATGCATGGTAAAAGACACTACCAAATACACCTTAGATCCGGCCCAGATCCGGTTTTGGGTAGCGCGGAAAGTTTACAAGGCACTGGATGTACCCTACCCCGGCACACGGGGTGCGCGCGGAGCTGAATGCAGGAATGTGTGCACCAAAACCGAGGGACTCAAGCAGCTCTAACGTTGCTGAGGATGTGTCGGGAGGGAGAGTGAAACTGGGGTGCCTGGCGTGCGTAGGCGTGTGCCCCCGCGTGTCCACGGCCCCGCCGCCTCTTGCCGAAACGTGCCAGCAACCTCAGCTCTCTTTCAGCCCTTTCCCAGCCAGACGCTTCCTTTTTGGTGCCTCTGGGCGTTTACTGTAAATTCCGTGACTAAAACACGCCGGTGAGCCCGGCCCATCGACAGATGGATCAATCGCCCCCTTCTCGGCTGGGGGAGGGGGACCCCACCCGGAGCCTCCGAAGCGGGTAGCTGCCGGCTGCCTTGGGAGAGCTCTCGGAGTCCAGTCCGCCGCCGAGCGCGGGCCGCCGAGCTTGGCACGGAGCCCTGGGCCCGGTCGGTCTCGGGTGCTCCCGCCGGGGTGGGGTGCGAGCCCCTGACCGATCCTTCCGGTGCGGCTCGGGCAGGTCAGCCGGCCTCGGAGGAGGCGGTCGGGGCGCCCGGGCATCGTGGCCTTCTTCCCGCACCAGGGGAGGGGAGAGGAGTGGGGAAAGGGAGTCTCGAAGGGCTGCAACGCCGGGGCGTGAGGGGGCCGAGGGCGCCAGGGGCGTGTGGGGAAAGTTCTCGAGCTCCGCGTGGAGAGCACACGTGTATGCGTGCTAGGGGCTAGACCCGGGCAGGCAGGCTGCGCGGGGACGCTGGGAGCTGGCGCTGGAGGGGCTTCTTCTTTTCTCTTGCCTTCGGCGAGAAGCTCTGCTTCGACTCCCCGGCCCCAAGAACGCATCCGCCCAAGGAGGGTGGAGCCCCTCCCCAGACCCCCGGCCGCGCAGCCGGGGATTTTCGAGCGCCCCTCCCCCCATGCCCCCGGGATGGCTGGGGTGTCCTGGACACTCCACGCCTTTCGGCCTCAGCTGAGTCTCCCCAGGCCTCCGGGACCCGTGGGCCGAGGCGGCGGGGGCAGGGGCAGTGGGGGTTGGAGGGTGCAGCCCGCCCGCGGCGAGGGGTGTGTGTGGGGGGGGGGTACGGTGGCGCGCTGAGAGGGGAGGAGGAGGGTGCGGAGGCTGTGGTGGGTTTGAGCCGTAGCTCGGGGAGCCGGTCAGTTTCCGGCCAAGGCAGCAGGTCAGTCCCGGGAAGGGCGGGCGGCCGAGCAGAGGGAGTGAGCGGCGAAGCACTCCTCTCGTCCAGCGTTTCCTGGCGCCACCGCCGTGTCGCCGCCGCCGCTGCAGAGTGTCGCTGCTCCGCCGCGCTCCCTCGCCCCGAGCCGCCAGCCGCCTGGGAGCCTGAGCGCCGAGCCCCGGGCGGAGAAGAGGGGCGCGGGCGCGAGAGCCGCGGCGAGGGAGCTGCGAAGGGGGAAGGGGGCGGGCGGAGGGAGGAGCAGGGAGAGAGGGAGAAGGGGGAGGGAGAGAGGAGAGCGAGGGAGAGCTGGAGAGAGCGAGAGCAAAGAGCGAGAGCCAGGGAGAGGAGAGGGAGGGAGAGAAGAGAGAAAGACACACGCACGCAGAGACACACAGTCACTGGAATTCCATTAGAAAAAAGTGAGACGAGCAAGGGTTAGCGGCAGAAGATTTTTTTTTTTTTTTGAATCTTTTCTTCGTCTGGGTGCGAAAGAAGCGACTCCGGGTTCTCGTCTTCGAAGCTCCCACTGGATTGTTCCTTGGCGCTAACACCGTCGGTGGATTTCTCTATTTGCATTTTATTCTGACCCCCACCTTCGCTGCTTCCTTTCAGCCCTTCACTCTCAAATCGCCTCTTCCCCACCTCCCCAGTCCGCTCCTGGGAAGCGCAGGGGAATTGGACCCGCGGGGACTCGCGCCTTCCCGGACCAGCGGAGGGGAGGACAGAGCGAGGACCAGGCTGTCGGCTTGCAAAGCAGATATACCCTCATTTACGTGTATATTTGATTTTAGTGGGCAAGGGGGGCGTCGAGAGGCAGCCCACCGCCCTCCTGCCCCCCCCCCCCCAAGCCAGAGGCGAGGATCGCAGGACTCAGGATCTTCATCGGGTGGACTAGCTGGGATCTCCGCATTGGATTTGGGGCTGATTATCACTGCTTGGCTATTATTATTGTTGTTGTTATTTTTTTTTTACCTAAGGGAGAAAGACACAAAAAACTGTGGGATTTATTTAACATGATCTTGGCAAACGTCTTCTGCCTCCTCTTCTTTTTAGGTGAGTACCTGCGGGCGGGGAGGGCAGCTTGTCCGCCGGAGCCTGGGGGGCCGCGCGGGGCCGCGCGTTCGGTCGCCGGCGAGAAGCCGGGAACGCGGGGGGCGAGCGGGGCGCGGGCTGGAGACCCGCGGGGAGAGCGCGCCGCGGAGCGAGCCGGGCCCCCGCGCTGCCGAATCGAGCCGGGCCGGGCGGCGAGGCTGCGGGCGGAGGGACGCGAACCGCCGCTGGCTGGTTACGCAGGGGGCTTGGGAAGGAGACTTGGAACACCATCGCCGCACACACGCACACTCGCTTACTCACACACAATGCTAGCACTCATTTCTCTCAAAATAATGGGTTCAAATTGCGGCAACTTAAGAAAAAAGAATACCAACTCTAGATCTGGAAGAGAGGAGGGTGGGGAGCGGCTCTGTGTCGCGGAGAGAAAAATCATGCCAGTTCCATCTTTCTGGTCGGCTCCTGGATCGGCCCGGGCGGACGGCATGGGTTTCTGGATCTCCTGCTTGGACATCGGTGCGGGCAGCGCTGGCCGCCATCCCCTCACCTGCCAATCACCCTTCGGGAAATGCATCCCACTTCCCGCTCCCCGAACCCCTTTTCCAGTGGCCCCAGTCCCTGGAGCACTTTTCAAGTTTCTCCCCACCCTTTGCCCGCCCTCCCGCCCAGACCCGAGCCAGATGCGTGGGCAAGAGTGAAACGTTGCGAGCAACCGTTCACTACCTATCTCTCACTACTTCTGGCCGCCTGGGGACCCTGTAGCTTGTGGGAAGAGGAGGGAGGGAGGTCAAAGTTTGCTTCCTTGGGTGAAGAGGGAGAGGAGTGATGGAAAAAAAGGAATCTGAACAAAGACCATTGCTCATTCCATAAGCCCCCTCCTCCAAGTGCAGGGAGGAGGGGCTGCCTGGTGCCCCTGAACCCTGGGCAGTCTCCCACCCAGAATTCCCAACCCCTCGCGCCCTTTTGTGCTATGTGAAATCTCAGCTGCTTGGGAAATGGGTATAGAGAGAGCATTCTGGGAGTGGAGGTGAGGAAGAAGGTGTTTGCCAGCCGGGTGCTGACCTGGAGTCCCTGGCGAGGCTGCTGCCCCTGGGTAGGTGCTCTGGAGAGGGAGCTGGGTAATGAGTGTGTTGAGTGCGCACACATCTGCCTCCGTGTGGATGCTGTTCCTGCCACCCTGGCCTGCTGTTAGCCTCTGGTGAGCCAGGGTGCCTAGCTGGGTCAGGACTGTACCCTTTCTCTCCTGGAGGAGGCGAGAGGGGAAGGCCTGAGGGGGTAGGTGCCCATCACAGAAAGATGTTTGTGGTCTAGTAAGTGCCCTCCCGGCTTGAATAGGGGATTTGAGTCAATACTGATTAGACCCTTTGTCCACCCCCTGCCTCTACCCTGTCCCAGAAGCTGCGGTCCCCCAGGGTGCCTGGCCCTGCTCTAGGGTGTGGCCTTCACAGGTCCTGCCCCCCTAAACCAGAGGCAGCTGTCTCCAGGGTGGGAGGGGCTGCAGGAGGAAGCTGCAAAGGTGCTCCAGGCCCACTGTGAGCTTGCAGCCTTTCCTGGCAACCCACTGCAAGTGGGCTCTCATTCTGGAGGGGCTGTTATAAAACCCGACCTTTTCTCCCACTGCTGGTTTGAAAACCCAGCTTTCTGGGGCTAAGAAGAAAAGAAAATTGTATTATAAGCAGCCAGATTGCCCGCTGCTGAGCTATGTATGTCTATACCCCACAGGGGCCTTCTGATGTCCCGGGGTGGAGAAGAGCGTTCTGGGCCCCTTAGTCCTGTCTAGGGGCCCATGTTGCAGGCAGGCTTTTTTCAGCTGGGAGGGCTGTGGAGTTGACTTTGTTCTCATGATATAAGGGTATGTGTGTGTATGTGTGTGTCAGAGATGCACCCGGAGTCTGAGACCCTGGGGGCAGTGGTGAGAGGAGGAGTAGTAGCAGGGCATCAGCAGTCCTTTTGGTCAGAGCCTTTCAGTTCCCCTCCCTTGAGATGCCCCTTTCCAGAGCTGGGGGGAGGGGTTAACTGAGTGACCACCAGATGTTAGAAGACTCTGGGTTAGGCCAGCCAAGGAGGAAGGGATAGGTTGGTATTAAGGAAACTTCAGCCTCAGGGCCACTTTCCTTGGCAAGGAGCTCACAGTTGGGAGCTGGTTGGAAATTCCGCTTGTGGGGAGAGGCTTTTGTGGAGCTTGAGACTGGGTAGGCAGCTTCAGTGTGTGTGTGGGGGGGGCACAGTGAAGTGTGGTGCCAGGAACATGGGTCTTCAGTGTGCCCCCAAGGTTCCGAGTGAGGCCTGGAAGTAGAGAGGCCTTTCTGGCCCCGTCATCCTGACCTCCAGGGTTGACATTCCCAGGGAGAGAATGAGATGGGGAAAGTCACTTGGGGGCAGGGCTGGTCAGAGGGCCCCCTTCCCACTGGTATCCTAGTGTGCATTCTAGCTCTTGTGGGGCTGTTCAGTGCGGGGGGGTGTTTGCAGCTCCGTGTAGTCTCTCAGTCCCCCTTGTCTCTAGAAGCTGTTCCACATGTCTTTTCTTAATGGATCTGAGTTTTCTCCTGATTTAGAATTTGGAAGCAGCAGGATACCTTCTGGCCTTTACTCTTTCAGAATTCTTGGCCCAAGGCTCCCAGTTGCTATTTCTTTCTCTGTCTGGGCTTGATTGGTTCTGGGGGTCATGACGCCAACTAGAAGAGCCAAGGATGGGTGCAGCCAGGGAGTTTGGGGAGAGGATGCACTGGCTCTCTGTGGAGCATCTTCCTGCCCTGGTCACGTGTACCAGCTGGCAGCATGGGGGACGCCCTTGCTCTTGGCATAGGAGCCCAGCATTTGTGAGGATTGTCCTGTGGGGCTCTAGGACCCACCTGTAGGGCAGGCAGGGTACGTGTCCTTCTTGCCCCGATCCCCTAGGCCAGTGTCTTGATCTTTAAGCCTGCCCAGGATGCTCCCTTCTCAGGCTGTCTCAGACAGTGCGGCCTTAGGCACAGTCAAGGTGGGAAGGGAGAAGGCTGCTGGGACGCTGTGGGGAAGTCCGTGGAAGTCCCAGGGCTGGGTAATTCTTGAGGCTCTAGCACGCAGGCTGGCCGGCTGGCTAGGTGGGGGTAGCAGGTGCAAGTGAGGCTGGGTCAGCTCAGCTGCTCCTGGGTGGCCCAGATGCACTGAGTCCTGCTCGGGGACCTAGGAATTTGCTGAAGCCAGGAAATAAAGCTGCTACCTCGGCTTGGGCGGAGGACACCTCTCCAGCCAGTGCCTCGGCAGATGCCCCGCTGTTCGTGCCCACACCCCATGCTGGCTTCTTCTCTGGTCTTGTCTCAGCCTGGCCACAGCCTTCAGCTCTTCCTGTCCTGAGGCAGAGGTATGGTCAACGGGAGAAGGAATATCTTTTTCTCTGGCCCTTATGGCCTCCACTGCAGGCCTACCCCTTGCTCTTCTACTTCCTCTCGTTGTGGCTAGGTCTCCTCCCGCCAGTGGTGGAGTCCTTTCCATCCGCAGCTGTCTGGAGTGACAGGCTCGTGGTACAGTGCTCTGCCTCCAGGTGTCGCTGTCTCCCCACGGTAGCTCCCCCCCCCCCCCCCCACCCCCCGAGCAGGGCCTACTGGGGAAAGGAGTGAGAAGTGGCCATTCTGGATAGGGATTTGGGGGGGGGGGGCGGGAAGGGCAGATTCTATGGGATTCTGAGGAGGGGACTTCTGGCCTAGGATCTTAGTATGCTTTGGGCTGGATGGAATGGAGGAAGCCTCCCAGGTCACTCCTGGGTCTTGGAAAAGGCAATCTTGGCTCTGGCATATGGAGGGGCTTTTTCTGGGGCAGGATCTGGAGTGGACAGGAAGACTGGGGTGATGTCTGTGTCTAGAGGAAACCATTTTGGGAGCTTGATTTTGACAGGACCAAGTGGGCTTCTCCCTGCCCTTCACTTATGAATCTTTTTCCCGGAGCCCCTTCCTTTAGAGGACTGTGGGTTTAGATGCTCTGAGGGTGATGAATAGGAAGGGTGGTTGAATCCTGCTTGTTCACCTTTGGAAAGGCAAGGCTCCACGTGCACGGCCAGAGTCCAAGGACGGAAGCTCTCTCCCTTTTGCAATTGGCTTATTATTCGGCTTTTGGAAAGAAGGAAAAAAAAAAAGGAGAGACCGAGGGGGAGAGGGTTTCAGAGAAGGGTGGAGAGGAGAGGGAAGAGAGGAGAAGTAGAAGGTGCTAGAGAGAGAGAGAGAGAGAGAGAGATGGGGCACAAGGCTATTCAAAGAGCAAAGGTGATGGAGAAATAGACCTTAGAAGGAAGTCAGAGAGAGAAGTGTGTGTGAGAGAGAGATGAGAAAGCCACACACACACACACACACACACACATACACAAGGAAGAAAGCTAGGGGCTTGTCAGGCTTGCCTGCACCACTTTCTTTCCACAGGGCTGGGGTACAACTTGGCCACAGAAGTCATGTTTTCAGGTGTCCAGCCAGGGTGCACTTGGACTGGAAGGTGTGGAGGGCTGGGCTGGAAAGGTGTGGCCGCCCCCTTCTGGACATGCCTCAGGCCACAGGTCAGGCTTGTCTCTTGGGGTCTTCTCTTAGAGTCTGGGAACTCAGAATGGACAGGCCAGGAGTCTGAGGGGCCCTTTCAGCCCATGTGTGACCTTGAGTTGTCATCTCCCTTCTTTAGGTCTCAGTTTCCCCAGGGTAAAGTGGTGGGGAAGGGGGAGCTGGATGCTGTGGTCTCTGAGGTCCTAACAGACCAGGAGAGTAAAATTATTTCCTGCTGCTTTCCGAGTTTAATCCAGCCTGTTGGCTGGACATCTGGTGGAACTGAGGTGGATGGAGGTTTGGGCAGCAGGAAAGCGAGAGTCCTCCTCTGCACACTTGGGCAGGCCCTGCAGCCCCCAGCTCTCCGCTGAGGCTGTGGCATCCTTCTCTGGCCTCCTGGGTTTTCAACTGTTTGTGATCTTGCTGGAGGGTCTTCGGGCTTTCCTCTGCTCCGCTCCTGGGCCCAGGGCTGAGGGGTGACCAAGTGGAATTGGAAGAGAATCTGGTAGAGCCAGGGCACAATGACAACTTGAGGTCTCCTTTGGGCTTGAGGAGGGATGTTGGTGTCTTGGGAACCTTTCAGGGCTCTTCCTCAGACCCGTTGTGTGGTGGGGAAGGCAGCATGGAGTCGGCCTTGGTGTGCTTTGGAGTAAGATGGGTGTGAAGTTCCCCGAAGGGCCCAAGCCCCCAGGCCTGCATCTTGGGTCGGAGGTCATGGTGGCCCTCATTCATGCTTGTCTTCCCTCCCCACCACCCAGACGAGACCCTCCGCTCTTTGGCCAGCCCTTCCTCCCTGCAGGGCCCCGAGCTCCACGGCTGGCGCCCCCCAGTGGACTGTGTCCGGGCCAATGAGCTGTGCGCCGCGGAATCCAACTGCAGCTCCCGCTACCGCACGCTGAGGCAGTGCCTGGCGGGCCGGGACCGCAACACCATGCTGGCCAACAAGGAGTGCCAGGCGGCCCTGGAGGTCCTGCAGGAGAGCCCGCTGTACGACTGTCGCTGCAAGCGGGGCATGAAGAAGGAGCTGCAGTGCTTGCAGATCTACTGGAGCATCCACCTGGGGCTGACTGAGGGTAAGCCCGGCGGGGGCGGGGGTGGGGGGGAGCCGTGGGTGGGGGCCTAGGTTCAGGGGAAGACTTGGTAGTGGAGGGAACCGGCCAGGTCTCTGTCGCTCCCTGCCAGGGGAGCCTGGAACATAGAGGAAGTAGCTGGCTGATCTAGGAGGGCGGTTGTTGGAGGCGGCCAGGAGAGGTGAAGGAGGGGGCAGAGTGTCAGCTGGGGAGGAGAGGGGGCTGAGTGGTGGGAGAAGGAGAACAAGGCTGGAGAAAGGAGGGCAGTAGGGGTCAGGAAGAGGATGGATGGACGGACGGACAGACGGAGGGACGGACTTGTGCAGTGGTAACTGAGAAGGGGAGGCAGGAGTACCCAGGCAGATGCGGGAGGGGGGTCGCTGCAGGCAGAGCTGTGCCTCCAAGCAAACCAGCCCCTGCCACTCCCCGAAGGCCTGGGCTCTGAGCTGAGGGCAGTCCCATTTTTGCTCTTCCTGCTGCCAGGAGGCTTGCTCTTCAGGGGGCTTCCTGACCCCAGGGCTGGCCTAGGCCCCTTCCACAGGGCTTGGAGCAGTGTGTGGGCAGCAGGCCCCTCCAGCTCCCAAGGTGGAACCTGCCACCGCCCCTTCCCCTAACAGCCCGCTCCCCGATGCCATCCCCTTCCAGACCACAGTGTGGAGGATTTGCGTATAGTGCAGGAGGATTGGCCACCTTGGTCAGACGGTCATTTATTGATTCAACAACTGTTTATTGAGAAGTTATCATCTGCTGGGCATTGTGGGAACACTTGAGAACAAGCGGGGGGAGCCTCTGCCTTCATGGAGCTCATAGCTGGGGGGGTGCAGAGAAGTGAGGGGCTTTCTGTCACTTGGTGGCCTCAGTGCTGTCGGAAAGCACTTGGTGCTGTCGGAAAGCACTTGGTGCTGTGGGAGCCCCATGGCAGCTTCTTATAGTCTTAAGAGCCTTCCTAGAAGAGGCAGCCTCTGAGCCGAGGCTAAGAGTGAGCTGTAGTTACGCCCGGAGGGATATGGGCAGAGTGTGGGAGGTGGAGGGGGAGCTTGGGCACAGGCCCTCAGGAGGGAGTTGAACTCACTCGCAGACCAACAGGTAACTCAGTGTAGTCAGGTGGGGAGCTGGAATTGGGGATGGGGGGAGGAGAGGGGAGGGGTGCGGGACCTGCTGGGCCTCAGGGAGCCCCGCAAGGGGAGGCCATGCGATCTCGGCTTCAGGACAGTGAAGATTGGAGGCTGTTCCTGTGATCCAGGCCAGGGGTTGTGGTGGCTGGCTGAGGACAGCGGCAAGAACGAGGGAGGGTCCAGGGAAGCAGAACCAACAGGTCTTGGTGAAGGGAGAGGAGTCAAGGAGGGCAGTTTTCTGTTTTGGGCAATGGGTGGGTGATGGGGCCGTTCACAAGAGGCGGAGAAGGTTTCGTGTGGGGGGAGGGCAGGGAGATGATGCCTTAATTTTGGGGTGTGTGGCTCTGGTTGGAGCCCAGGTGAGGAAGTGGCTTTGTACATGGAGATTTAGGAGCTGCGGTCAGCCAAGGCCAAGGGTGTGCACACACTGAGGGGAGGGAGGGGACAGAGCCCCCGGGACCACCACCGACGTTTACAGATGGGCGGGGGAGGCAGGGGCACCTGCAAGGGTGTGGGAGAGAGGCGGGAGGGACAGCAGGGGACCGGGGAAGGAAGGAGGGCCAGCAGTCTCCAGTACTTGGGGTCCAGCAGGAGAGGGCTGGTGGCATGGCCCTGTGCCCTTGGGGTGAGCGCCGCAGGTGGCCACTGGGAGCAGAAGCCTGGTTAGGGAGTGAGTGGGAGCTGGGAAAGGTGACTGTGGACAACTTCTAGAAGTTTGGTGTGAGGAGGAGAGGACAAAGGATGATTTTTTTTAAGATGTGAGAGGGTGGAGCAGCTTGAAATGGAAAGTAGGCCAGTAGTGGTGGAGTGTTGAGGTGAAGAGAGGGGTATGCTGTGGAACGGCGTCGGTGGTTAGCCTGAGATGGAGAAGCAGCATGGCCTCAGGGTGCTGGAGGGGAGGGGAAACGGGGACCGGGTGTGGGGGCCGGAGAGTGAGGGATTTCTGAGCAGGTGCCGAGATGGTTCCAATACACCCTGAATGTGGGAGTAGAGCGGGCAGGTCATTATGAACAGTATCACCACCGTGAATAGCAAAGTAATTCCTCTGATTCAGTCTCCCGTTCCCAGCAACCTCGAGTCCTGGAGCTAGAGGTGAGCAGAGAGAGGGAAACAGTGCCACAAAGTGCATGTCTCTTATTCCCTGCGAGGTGAGGGAGGATGCCTCTCTAGTGCCTGAAAACTGAGGTCCCTGAGCCCAGGGCTGCATTCTTTAGTTTCTTGTTTTCTTTCCTGAGGCCTTCAGTTTCAACCCAGGGGAAGTGGGGCGGTACCTTGGGGTGGGCTTGCTGAGGGCTGCAGGATTCCCAGGGGAGGGGACAGAAGGACTGCCAGCTGGAAGAGCCGGGTGGGCCCCCTGAGAGCCTGGCCACCCGAGTGGCTCCCTCTGGCATTACTGCGCCAGAGGGCCGAGGCCCTTGCTGGTGGGAGCCAGGCAGTGGGGCGTTTGGATGAAGATGGCGTGCTTCACGGGCTTTACACTGCGTCCTGCGCTTTGCTCTTCAAGGCCCTCTCAACCCAGCAGTACGGGACGGGAGAGGCGTGAGCTGGCTTGCTGGTTCTCTTACTCAGCAACCATCTACGAAGCCCCCCGACTGTGTGCTTCGGGGTGGGCGAGGGGAAGCACTGATTCAGCCGTGGTCCCCTGTGCTGGGCTGCGTGTGGCTAGGAGAACCCTCCCCTGGGCCAATCCTACAAAAGTAGACCTCCTACTTTCTCCTTCCTCAGAATGCACCCCTCCCCCATTCCTGGTTCTTGGGAGCCAGAGGTGGTTTCTGCCTAGAGCTGGCCGGGGGAAGCTGAGAGGCCTTTTAACAGTAGGTAATGTTCCTGTGAGTGACAGGATCCACCTGAGAGTTAATTATTCATGGTGTGGGATGAGTGGTCTCCCTGGGGGAGGCTGCAAGCACTTCCTCCCTATTCCTTAATAACACTTAATAACCTGGCTTGGGCCTGGGGCGGGGTGGGGGATTGTGGGGAGGAGAGATCTGTGCTGGTTTGGACTTTGATTGTGGCTTCCCCTTGGCCACTGCTGGCGGGTGTGAATTCTCTGGAGGCTGGGCGCCACCTTCTCCCTCCACCTGAGGCTGAGCTGTGCATAGTCTGAGGACCTCAGCTGCGGACAGAGCTGGTGGTAGCAGGAATGTGGCCTCTGCTGAGCTCCTAGATGTTCCCAATTGCAAAGGACCTAGAGATCATTCTGTCCCACTCCCACTTTGGTGGGGAAGCTGAGGGTGCAGGGAGGAGGGTTGGTGGGACCAGGGCCCCCGACTCCTTATCCAGACCCCTTTCCAACTGCCCTGGGGAGAACCTGTGGCCTGGGGCTCAACTGTCCCTTCTGTCACCACCGCCAGTATTTACATGGTGGCGCTGTCCCTGATGGCTCCACGGGGCACTTGAGACCAGACTTCTTGCCTTCTCCAGAGGTGGCCCTGAAGTTCAGGGTCATTCTGGTCCTTCAGATGTGAGGAGCAAAGGCCTCTCGCACAGGTCATGGCCTGGGAATCTGACACCTTAGGTTTGGGTCAGTCTGGTGGCCGGGATGCCCAAGGGGCCAGGTCTCCGATTTCCTGCTGGTGAATTCTGCCGCAGGAGCATGCAGCATGAGTTGACTTAAATAGGATGGGCCTTTCCCAGCCAGTCCTGCAAGAGGCTGTTTTCCCCCCGGACACTACCCCCCAACTCTGCAGTCGATCATACTAGCTGATGTGCACCCAGGTGCCTAGCTTTGCCAGGTGCAGGAGGGAAGGACAGGCCCGGGGCTGGGGGAGCAGTCCTGCTGGCCTAAGACTGACCCTGTGAAAAGTCCAACAGCAGCAGTACTTGCTTAAGAACAGTTTGGTTCAGCAACACTTTTAATTTTGGAGACCGTATTTATCATGGCTAAGTACTTGGATTCTGGAGCCAGCTGCCTGGGTTTGAAACCTGGCTCTGCCACGTACCAGCTGTGTGACCTTGGGCCGGTTACTTAACATCTCAGACCAGTTCTTTAGCAATGAAACAGGGAGAGGAATAGTGCCTATCTCGTAGAGAAATTAAGAGGATGAAGTGAGTTCGTACACCTAAAGCGCTTTCAGTGGTGCCCGTGCATAGAGGGCTCAGCATAACATCATTTTTCCTACAAAAACGCTTCCTAAGCTCTTATATTATTTGGCCCCAACAAATGGCAGTGGCTGGTAACCCCACCGCTGGGATTTTCTCTGGTGCCTGTGGGTAGAGAGGAGGACACTGAGATCGTACAGGCCTGGTCAGTCCCGGGGGCAGGTGGGATTGGAGACTGGCCTGAAAGGATCAGTGCCGTTTGGATGTCGGTCAGCAGTTAGCGCTTAGGGCCTGTTGTGTGCAGTGCATTCTGTGTGCTGTGTGTTGCAGGGCGTGAAGGGTGCTTGCTCCTGTGAGGTGAAGTAAAGGGTGGGGGCCGGTTCTCCAGGGGGAGAATGAACATCTGGGGGTCTGTACCATTTTTGGGGGGTCTGCTAGCTATAGCAGACAGAGGCCTTGCTCTGTGAACCAGCAGAGGGCCGGATGAGCCTTGAGTGCTGGCCTCTGGGGGACCTCACCCCTTACGGGCAGATTGCAGGTCCCCTCTTCTGGATGGCTGGCCCCGTCCTGCAGGAGGCCCCGTGGATGCCACCGCACATGTGCTCTTCTTCAGGTGCTGGGGGAATGGGAAATCAATGTGTGAGACTATGGGTCATCACCTATCTCCCCTGCCCCTTCAGCACACGCACACAGTCTGAGTGATTATCCATTGATTTCTCCTCACAGTAACGTCTCAAGAGGATATTTCCTCTCCTGCCGAGGTGTTGGTGGAAGGGCCGGGAGTCCCGATGAGGAGGTGGTGGGTCTCCAGGGCATCCCTGTGCCATTTATCTCCTGTCACTCGCTTGCTTTTCTATTCACCAGCCCTCTGATGCGCCCCAGAGCCCTGAGGAGAGGTCTGAGAAGCCAGCAGGTGTGAGCTGGGTGGAGGGCCCTGGCCAGGCCAGCAGGGAGTGCAGAGGTGGGGAGTTGGTCAGACAAGATGGGGGTCATGCCTCCACTCAGCAGACCTTCAGCCCCTCCAGGCAGACTTTTCTGGTGACATAATGGGAAACAAAGAGGAAGTTCTGTGCCTTAGGCGGCCTGGGCAGAGCGAACCTGTAGTGATGGGGGAGAATGTCAGCGTGAGGGCCAAGGGACCAGAGTCTAGTCTAGCTCTGCCACAAGGAGCTGTGTGATCTCAGTCAGGTGTCTTTACCTCTCTGGGCCACCTCAGAGTCCTCTCTTGTGAAATGAGGAACTTGTACTGAACAACCTTGGAGGGCCTTTGGCTTCAAATCCTTTGATTTATGTCTGGCCTTCCGCAGGCTGTCCACCTCCCCAGTGCTTTCTTTCCAGAAGCATTTGGAAGTCCTTAAAAGAGGGCTGGACATGCAGGGAGGTCAGCAGAGGGAAGTGTGAGCAGTACTGACCTGCTGTGGGAGACTACTCTAGTTGGAGAGAAAGAATTCACCCGTATGAAATGTTCAGCATCTCGTGCATCACTTGCTCTTGTCTAGCACCGTGGGAGGGGTGAACCTGTGCCTGACGCTGGTTTTTTCTTCCAGGTGAGGAGTTTTATGAAGCCTCACCCTATGAGCCGGTGACCTCCCGCCTCTCGGACATCTTCAGGCTTGCTTCAATCTTCTCAGGTAAGTGGGCTCATGCTAGGGCCTCCCCAGTCCTCCTAGGCGCCCTGGCCTTCAGTCGGTTCTGCCTTCCACCAGCAAGCCCCTTCGTGTTTCTGAGCTTCGGGCCCTCATCTGTGAAAGAAGAAACCATAACACCCACCCCTGACGTTGTGTGTGGAGTGGAGCATTTATGGGACTTGCCTAGAATGCGCCTTCCGTGCAGTAGGTCTTGAATTGGAAACCTGGTGTCACTCTCCTAGTTTGTCACATGTCTTGCCCTGCGGGGTCCTTCTTTCCAGTTCCCAGCTCTTGCACTTTGGAATTCTACTTTGGTCAAGCTGTTCAACTTTTCTGTGCCTCAGTTTCCTCAGTTGCACAGTGGGAGAGTACCTACCTTGGGTTGTCGTGAGGTCTGAATGAGCCAGTGGTTGTGAAGGGCTCAGCGAGCTGCTGGGCAACGCAGCCCAGGGCCCGCCCAGGAACCATTAGCTGTGGTTCTTGGCAGTAATATCACCCCTCTCGGCTCTGCTCTGGGACTCCCCTTCCCCCGGGGGCTCTTCTTCTTGAGCGCCACCGAGAGGCCTCTTAGTCCCGGCCACTCCTGCCCCGGCCTGCCCCGGCCTGCCCCGGGAAGTGAGAGGACTGTGTGGAGCTCTAGCTTTGCTTGTCATGGTCCCTGTGCAGGAGTCTGAGGACTTTGTTGGTTCCTTCTTCTTGGCCTCTTCCCTTTGGCATCTGGGAGACCTGTGGGCCCAGGGCAGCCGCCCCTGCTCGGGCACTGGGGAGGGACTGCCTGTCTTGGGCACCGCTCTGTAGGGGCTGGGGACGAGCTCCTCCGGAAGCCACCACTGGTGCTCAAAGGTGGCCGGGGGGGGGCCTGTTACGGTACAGGGCTCCAGACCTCAGGTTTCTAGGAAGTTTTGTGGCAGTATGCGAAACCTTCTGAAGTTTCTTTTGCTCTAAACCATGGGTTCTCAACAGCAGCACTGTTGGGGTTTTGACTTGGATAATTCTCTCCCGTGGGCAGAGCTGTCCCATGCATTGTTGGATGTTTAGCAGTGTCCCTGGCCTCTACCCATTGGACGCCAGTAGCAACGCACTGAGTTGTGACAACCAAAAATGTCTCCAGACATTGCCAAATGTCTCTTGGGGGCACGACTGCTACCAGTTGAGAAGCAGCGCTCGAAAACTGTGAAATGAACGACCCTCCAGTGAGACCCTAAGCACCTTCAAATGAAGAATTCTCTAGGAGACTGTTTTTCAAACTTTCTTTTTCTGTTATTGGCCCCTGCTAAGGAGAAAAGTCAATTCTCTGTAGAGAAATACTGTCTTGGTCTCTTTGGGCTGCCGTCACAAAATACCACGTTGGGAAGCTTCAACAACAGAAATGTATTATCTCATAGAGGCTGGAAGTTGAAGATCAAAGTCTGGCCGGGCTTGGTGTCTGGTGAGCGCTCTTTTCCTCACTTGCAGATGGCCACCTTCTCACTGTGTGGGAAGGGAGGGGTGGTGAGGAGGGAGGGAGGGAGGGGGAGAGAGAGCGAGAGAGTTTTTTTTTTTTTTTTTTTTTTTTTTTTAAATATAAGGATACCATTTCTATTGGTTTTGGCCCTACCTTCTCACCTTTATGACCTCACTTAACCTAATTACCTCCTAAAGCTTTGTCTGGAAATACAGTCAAATTGGAGATTAGGACTTCAGCATATGAATTTGGTGGGCACAATATAGTCCATAGCAAATACCAAGGAATACCTACTTTTCTTTTTTTGCCTACCCAAGAGCCAATTTTTGAGATTGTATCTAAGAGATTGATATGGGAGGATATATATGTTCCTGATGGGAGAAATCCTGGAACCCCATGAGAAAGGAGGCATTGGCCAAAGGGTGACCATCTAGATTTGCCCTTGGGCCCTGGTGGTGGTTGGGGATGGTGGTGAATGAAATGGAGACTTCAGAGATGATCCTGACTGGTTTTGGATAGAACTTCACCTTGGGCCACTCCTTTGGGGACAGCCTCGGGGCTCAGATGCAGGTTGAGAATATTCTCAGCATGGGATGCTATAGTGTGGATGCCCTCAGCCCCGATGTACCCAGTTCTCACCCTGCCAGCTGAGTACTGCTGGAGGGGTGGAAGCCATTGGGTTTACCTCCAGCAAAGACACAGATTAGCCTTGCTCCTTGAAGGGTGAAGGTCAGAGGTTTGTTTCCCGGACTCCCACTAAACATCTTTCTAGCAGAAAATCTTTATGTGATGGACTTGATACTCCATGAGATAAGGATATTGACAAGTGAGGAAGTTATTGGGTCTCAACTCACTGAATCAGCTTCTTTTACCCGCTGCCCAGATGGAAATGGCCCCCACATGACCCTGGATCCCTGGGCTTGGGGGACCACTCCCTACAGAGAGGGCATAACTTCGGGGTCTGTGACAGCCCCCCTCATCACTCCAGTTGACCCCACTCCACCCACAGTAGCCCCAGAGTTGGTGCGTGGGTGGCCCCGTCTGGGAAGCTTGGGCACAGAGCTGGGTGGAGGGCCCTGGCCAGGCCAGCAGGATACCAAGCAGGCCAGGGTGGGGCACAGAGCAGGAACAAGGTTGGATGCGGAGCTGGGAGGCCTGAGTGAGTGCCAGTGCATTCCCTGCCACAAATCACCTGAGGGGCTTGGGCAGGTCACTTCCCTGCTCCAGACCTTATGTTTCTTTTCTGAAGAAGGAAAATGTAAGCTTGGAGTGGAGCTCCCCGATTTTTCCCCACCAAGGCACACAGACAGTGGCAACATTGGGTGGCATACTAGGGTGAGCAGAGCATCTTGGTGCTCAGGGGGAACATGGGCCTCTGTGTGGGGTCAGTCTCTGGGCACATATGTCACCTACCTGTGGCTTGCTGGCTGAGAAGGCTTGGCCTGCGGGACCCAAGATCTCTACCGGTGCTTTAGGATGATGAGGCTGCCACCTTGTAGAACTGGATGGAGCCCATCTGCACATGCACACACCAAGAGTTGGCTGTGAATTGCTTCCCCCATCATCTTTGTGTGGAAAGGCAGGGGGTGGGGAGCATGGGGTCTCTGTGGCCCTCCTCTAGGCCGCACTATGCCTAATCAGGGCCCTAGGGACTTGGAAAAGGATGTTCTTGTAGCTTTGGGGTTCTTGCTGCTATCTCCTTCTAAGAATTTGGGTCCGTGTTGGGGCCTCCTGGAACATGTGTTCTTCTTTATCTCTGGCCTCCTCTCTCTGTTGGGGTTCTCAGAAAGTCCCACTGGGAATCTGTTGGCAATAAAAGCTGCCAGGATTCCTCCAGCACTCTTTGATGCCAGAGGCCCTGGGGGAAGGACCAGCCTCCCCTCCTCTCTGCCTAGTTCAAAGACAGGCCCTAGCGTCAGTGACTGGGGCTGGGATTACTGGTGTCCCGTTAGCCCTGAGTCCAAGGCTGGGAGGAGAGCAGCCTGGCTCTTCCCTGAACCATGACAGCAGTGATGTTGGAGGCGTCCAGGTGGGATGGGAGAGTTCATGGGGAAGTGAGGTTTTTCCTGTTTCTAGCCACTCAACTGCCCTTGCAAGCATGAAGCGGAGTGGTTAGGGAGGCAGCCTAGTGCACAAGAAGAGTGTGGGCCTTAAGGCAGACAGTCTAGGGTTTGAATCCCGACCTGGCCACTTAGGGGAGTGTGATCTTGGGCCTCACTGGGCCTTCTCGAGCTGTAGTGCCCATGCGTGTATAGTGGTAAGGTGATACCTACTGGCAAGGTTGCTATAGAGGGGTTACCGAGAATGGATGTAGGCAGAGTAACAGTCATCCTCCCTGTGCCGAGGATGCTCAGTAGGGGACAGGGGTTTGGGGGAGCTGAAGTCGGGAGCCCCTCCGTCCCCAGGTGTCTGTGACCCTGTGAATACTGCACCCCGGCTGGTCGCACATGGGGAGGCAGGAGAGGATGGAACAGGCGAGGAGAAGAAGGTCTTCTTAGGGAAGGGAGAGACTGTTCAGGCGGAGAGAGGTTGTGGAAGTGTTCCATGCTTGGGTCACGTGGAGGGAGGCCATCAACGCAAGGGTGAAGGGTCTGGGAGGCCCAGGCAACAGTTTCCCTCGTAGCCTTGGGGCCATGCCTGGGGGATAGGGAGAAGCAACGGCAGATGGCTCGGCTGGGCTATGCATTCTTGGTGAGGGGTGGGAGCCTCCAGGGCCTCTGCATCCCATGAGGGCCTTACCAGATGCATGGGCACAGAGCACGTTTATGCAAATATGTCTTTTCTGTAGCTGGAAGGGAACTTAGAGATCACCTAGGCCCACCCCTTCTCCCAAGGGGCTGATAGAAACACCTACTCTCTAGAGTTTTGCTGGGACTAAAAGAGATACTGCAGGTAAATCCTTGACGCAGTGCTGGGGCATACTGCACTAAAATATGTAGCTATTGAAAACTTATGGAGTTTCTCTAAGGGCAGATGGCCTGGAAGCTTGCATCTGGGAAGTGGTTGCAAGCCTTTTGGTGACATGAGGCTGCCTCCCACCCATGATAGTGCTTGGTGGGGGCTTGGGTGGGAGGTGACTGGGCAATTTTCATGGGACAGTAGGACCTGGGGACTCCTGCTGAGCCACCCTGGCCTTGCTGAGCCACACTGTGGAGGGTTGGGGACACATGGAGGTGGGTGAAATGTCTGGGCCTGGGGCATTTTGTGGGTTGGAGGAAAACGCAGTGGGCGGTGTCTGCCTCAGTTGGCCAGTGAGCCTCTGGGGTGGGTGGGCCGTCTTGCCCGGCTAGGGGCAGGAAAGGCCTAAGGATGTGTCGGGCTCAAGTGGTCCCCTTGTTGGGGGCTTAGGAATGGAGGGAACCCTATCCCTGCCGAGAAGCCTGACAGGTGGCCCCTGACAGATGAGCACCACCTTTCCCCTTGGTGCTACAGCACTCTCATGTGTTGGGGGCACGTGTGGGATCGTGGGTGTTGGTCTGTGTCCATGCTTCTCTGTATTCCTGTGGGTGCCTTGCGCTCTGCTGTGCTTCTAATACATATCCACACAGAAGATCCTGGA